AATTTTGAGTGATTTTAAACAGATTTCAAGTCAAAACATCTAAAACCTGGAACTTCGTCTGGTCCAACTTCACCACATCAGGTTCTGCTCAGAGCCTCAAAAGTTGGTGACATGTGACCAGAGACTGGATTCTAGTAGAACCATGGATCCATCCATAGATAGACACTGACAGGATTGACTTTCTGGATCAACACCAGCCTGGTTGGAGGTTTTACACTTTTATTTTGCATTTTTTTCCCCCCATTTTTAAAGTCCAGTAATTCAAACTGTGTCCTCTGCTGGATCCATTCAATGGTTCTGATCTGATTTAAACTATCCTGTCTGAGTCCTCACCACATCTCATGGCTGTTGGAGTTTTATTTCTGGAGATATTGAACCTTACTTACTGTGAAGTAAATCTTGGATGATGATTTATTAAATATGATCTATCCTGCTGGTTCCTACATTAAGAAATCACAATATTCCCGCCTTAAGATAAGAAACGCATGAGCTCATCTTTCAGCATCACACTGAGATACGATGTTCCTGATTGAATGTGATAATACTGTGCAGCTGAAAAGGACATTTCCTGGTCAAAAACAGCTCCGTGGTTCCTCAGAGTAGAACAGGAGGATGAGTTGATGCTCCACAGAGGAACTATCAATCCTGGTTCCACCGCTGAACGCTTGTCTTTAACGCTGATGGTGTTTCATGAGGAACACAGGCTCCTCCGGCAGGTTCTAGCTGCTGTCTGACTCCACAGATCAATGAGATCGATTCTAGCAGCGAAGCTGAAACGCCTCCAGCGGCGCATAAAAAATTCATGGACATTAAACGGCCTTTAAGAGTCGGATCCTCGGGAGTAAAGAAGACAAACGGTTCTAACACGATCTGGATTTATGAGCTTGGGGAGGAACCTCCGATCGATCCGCTTCACACAAACACGACGGAGACTAGAACTGATTCTGTTCCTGAAAAGTTCTGCAAAGTTCTACTTATATTTTGAGCTGGAAGTTTTCTTATAGGTCCCAGAATGTTCTTCTAGAAGACAAGATAACTAAAGATGTTCTGAAAATGTTTGGTGACAACATTGTTATGCTCCAGAGTTCTTAAAACTGAGTATTGTTCTTCCTCTGTTGTCACGGAACATCGTGGGAACGTTTTATAGAAAACGAAAAAGGCAAAAATGTTTTACCTTTCGTATATCACATTGCAGGAACGTTCTGTATAAAAACGTTCCGTCATCTCAGGTCCCTCATGATCAGAACATTGTGGGAAGAACGTTCCACACTTGTTTTAATATTCACATTACAGGAACATTTTATGAGAATCATCTGAGGCCTTGATAACGTCTGGAAAACGTGTTTTTAATGTCGGTTTGAGAATGTTTTTTCTTTGATATAATGGAACATCGTGGAACAACGTCCCCAAAACATGCTCAGAACGCTACAAGCAGAATGTTCCAACGTTGTTAATACGTCACATTACTGGAACGTTTTTAAAGAACGTTTAGTCACCCTAGAAAACGTTTTTCAATGTTTCTTTGAGAACGTTCTTCCAGTATTATTGGGGAACATGGCAGGAATGTTTTACAGAAGAACGTTCTAGTATGTGTTCCTTCAAAAAAATGTTCCACCTTTAACATATCATGTTGCAGGGTAAACATTTTGTGAATGTAGGCTCGAGAACCTCCTTTATTTGTTATCATTGTGGGAAAGTTTTACAGAAGAACGTTCTTTAATGTGTTCCCTCAACAACATCCTCAGAACATTGCAGGCAGAACGTTCCACCTTTGTTAATATTTCATAATACAGAAATGTCTTATGAAGAACGTTCTGTCACCGGAGGTCTCGATAGCATCTTGAGAACGTTTTTTTTGCATTAATAACGTCCTTTTTTTGAACTCTTAAAAAGAACGTTCTACTGCGTGTGTCCTCAACAGAAAGGTTCCACATTATATACATTTTCTAACTGTTGGCTCGAGAACCTCCTTTCTTTGTTATCGTTTTTGATAGGGTTTTTCAGAGGAACGTTCTTTAATGTGTTCCTTCAACAACATCCTCAGAACATTACAAGCAGAATGTTCCACCTTTGTTATTTTATCACATTACAGGAACGTTTCATGGGAGTCATCGGAGGCCTCGGTAACATCACTTCTTGACATGTCGGTTTGAGAACGTTCCTCCTTTGTCTTCATAGAACATAATTTGTGACGACATCCTCTGAATGTTGATGATAAAACATTATACTAACTTTATAGGAACATTACTGGAATTAACAATATTTTTTAATGTTTTTCTCTATTTTAAAGCATTTATAAAACATATCTTTTGGAACTTGTGATGTTCTCCAGTGTCTTGGGAAGGTTCTCTGCCAGCCGGGTGTCGACTGCTGACCTCTTTTCATGTTTCTGTTTATCGAGCCGCCATCCGACACTGAAAACGGTATTTCATGCTCCTCCTAGCGACGCCTGGCAACGGCCCCCCTGGCAACGGTGGCCCGGCAACCCTGCCAGGCTCTGAGTCACATCCAGCCGGGCTCACGGTGGTTCTGGGCTGCACAAACAGGAACCGGGGGGCTTACGGGGCTTAGAGCGGAGCCCCGAGGCAGAACACGCTCACACCAGTGTAGGCTCAGGCCGAGGCCTTTCAGCGCCTCACAGTGGGTCAGCACGCGACGATGCTGCAGCTTATTGCTACATAACAGTGATTCTGTCTAAAACCAGAATATGAAGGCTGTTTGATTTGCTTTGGACGGGTTTAAACTCACAGCGCTGAGCAGAGCTGAGCGAGAGATTAACACCATCTACATGTTTATTTTAATAAGTCTTCCCTTCAGCTCGATGGAGCTTTTAGCGTCTTTCGGCTAAATGTTGTGCTTCAGGTGTTGTGAAGTTGGACTCAGGCTTCAGCTACGAGCCTTCCATCTCTGTTCTGCATGTCAGTGTGTTACCGTTACTATAGCTCCCGTCAAAACAAAGGTTTTGTCGAGCATTTGAGACGCAAAGCAGCTACAAGGAGACACAAACCTGCCATTTCTACTCTGCACAGTTGACTGTTACTGTTTTTATAAATCACGTCGTTGTCGGAAACGAACACCTGAAAGCAACGACTTACATGCTGATGATTTAAAAGATGTGGAGTATTTGAGACACAAAGCAGCTACATGGAGACACAAAAAGGACAAAAAAAGAGAGAAAACAACTACATAGAGACACAAAACAGCCACAAAGAGACACCAAGCAGCTACAAAGACACACAAACAGCTATAAGGAGGCACAAAACAGCTATAAGGAGACACAAAATGGGTATAAGGACACA